ACAACAAAAGAGGGAAAATGAAAAAATGAAAAGAAAATGTTTGAATTTGAAGCCTTCTTTGAAAACAAGATTACAGGTAAATCCTCCGAAAATGAATACACAGTGTAATTTACAAAGTACCGACAAGTTTGCATTAGGAACTTCCATGAGATCGAGTGGATGAAATTGATTGTGCTGAAATAGAAGCAGTCGGGCTGTTTAGGTCTCGTTCCCCATTAGCAACCTTTGGTTTTCCACTCAGCTTCTCTAATGCATCTTGACAAAAATCGTTAAACCAATCATCTTCCGGAAGTACGCTGCAAGTGGCAACACAAAATTTGTGTTTTAATACAATGCACAGGAACTAGAAGTATTCTGTTTTGCTAAGATGAAAACATATGCTTAGTAACAAAATATATTTTTATTTTTCTCCGAAGAAATACCATCCCCAAAAATGGAAACGAGGTCAACCCCTGACCTCCAAATCCCGAATGGCCCCAAAGAATTTTCACAGAATCTTTTACGAATTTCAGAACTAATAGGCAAAGAGCTTAACTATAGATAAAAACGTCATTATTACACCCGCATGTCCCTATGTTTACCTTAGAGTTTCTTTTCCGGTAGCTAGTTAACTGAAAACAGCAATTTATGCTCATTTGGTGAATTTTGAGTGATAACAAATCAATGTTTTACTAATACTATTACTATTAATTGTTTGAAATCTTAATGGCTTCTAAGTTAGTGAGAAAATACATATGAACAACTGAAAGGCAGTAAATGATCCCAAAAATGACACTTCATACTTTAAGTCTTTACCTATACGGATCTATGCCTGTGGCAGAACATGCAGCAACTGCTTTGGATATAATATCGTTGACCACACGATGCAGATTCCTTGACAAGTAGCGGCCTTGCGAAGCAAAGCACATTACGAATTTCATATCCAAATAGAACTGCATCAAATTCAGCATATGCATAATAATTAGCCACATGGAGAATTCAAAAGTCTACCGAGTGTATATCAGATTTTTACATACCTGCTGTAGACCGAGTGGACCCAAAGGCCTAGGCCCTTCCTCGATATCATCCCAAAACGTTTGGTCTTCTGAAAGCCATAACATAACAGTTTCAGTGAGCCTCATTAATAAAAGTGTCGCAAATCTTTCTCGCCCCACAAACATGTCTGCTGCTATTCCAGCCATCCTATTCAGCTTTGCAAAGAGTTCCTGAAAGTGTAAAAAGAATTAAAGATGGCATATAATAACATACACAATAAATAGAGAGTAAATTAAATTGGCTTCATAACAATAACCACCCCAAGCATCCAAAGCATTTGCTAATACATATATATATATATATATATATGTGTGTGTGTGTGTGTGTGTGTGTATACACACCCATCCATTTTAGGGGACTCGAACCAGCTCCGAGGTTTTCATTTTCTTAACAACAAATATATCCCATATTGAGCATGCTGTGTGAAATTTGTTCTGAGCAGTTAAAGTTCTTTAACAGATTGAAGATCATGGGTAGGGAGTTTTTTAACAGATTGAAGATCATGTGCATCATAAGCTCCCAAAAAAAGGTTACCTGGAATATGGGAGAAGGGAACCATTCTATTTCGCCCATATTTCCATCCATGTTTATATACATGTCAGCAGTAAGATAACTTTCACCTTCTTCAGTAAAAATAAGGTCTAGAGCATGCTGGCGGCAGAAACTATCTTTCAATCTATCAACTGAACTGACAAGGCGCCTCTTCCATTCTCTTTGCTCAGGATTACGGTTTTGGCGATCAAAGGGCCTTCTACGAGAATCATCATTATAATTGGCCTGATTCAAAGGGGATAGCTTCATGGCTGCACGTGGCAAGAGCTCGTCTGCAAGTAAGGATGCATTGGCAAGCAATGCAATTTGTTGTGCTTCGGTTTCAGCCATTCGGACAATTTTAGTTCCAGATCCCTCAAAATCTGCTTCTTCTTCCATGGAGCCAGGTAAAGCTTTTATGAGCATATTAACATAAGAAGTGAATACTTGGTACAATCCATCCAATGTTCTACTTCCCAACTGCATGCTTAAGAGGGGTCCTACATCTTCAAAAAAATCCTGCATGGATACCAACCCATAGTTTTCAAGTTTTACATCATGGACTACAATATTATTTTCATTGTTATATGAGTATTGCCTCAACAACTTTAATACACCCAACTAATCGATTCAAAAAGATAATTCTGTAGCTAGAAAGGGGATGATGACATGTCTGGGAAGAAAACGATTATCTTACAGACAATACTCGGGTAACACACTATATTGACTTCAGAATCATATTCAATTTGAAGAGTTAATGATGCATTGACAATCTCAATCATCGAAACTTAGTGAGACTGAGGTACCAAAACATCACAAATATGATAATGTTGGTTGTTCAAATTTCTCAAGGAGAAGACATCATCAGAATTCTCAATTAAGTCCTGATATTTCGCCTCTGTTCAACGAATAACAAAACCAGAAAGTAATGAAAGCCACTAGCTATTGCAAATAACATCTAGATTCTACAATTGATGCCTGCTCATAAACAATAATGCTTATAGAACAATGTATTTACCTGCACCATAGAATTGAAACGATGAGCACTACTCGAGAGCTTATGCTGATACCCCATCATGCTGCCGCTGCCAGCAGCACCAGTCCTGGACAACCGCAAGGACGCTGGAGGATAAGTGAGATCCCAATTATCAGCCGCCGCCAAGGCAGCTGTACTCTCCTCAATACGCTTCAAGTTAGCATCTAGAGCTTGCTCGACACTCGGCCTGAATAGTCTCAAGAGCACTGGACAGAGGGCAAGGCCACGGGCCTCCAACAATGAACAGTGCCCCAGAGCTATCTGAACACACTCGGCCGCCGATCTCAAGCCACCAGCAGCTGCCGATGAAGCTAAGGCGTGCCTCTTGACCAAAAGCGCGAAAGCTTCTGTCTGCTTTGTTGCCCACATCACAAGCTCAGATGTGTAAGCTGTTTCCTTGCCAAAAATTGACGAGGAATCACTAGCCGCCTGAGCAACGGCCGAGAACACGAGCTGAGAAAGTGCAGCCGTGTATGCCCCACCATAAGAGGTGCTTGACGGGCGGAGGCTCTGCATATTGTACTGATACCTCTGATAATGTGCGTTGAGGAGCAGAGTATGCGCGCGGGGCCCATCACCGAGCTTCTTGAGAGCCGAAATTGCTGACCGGAGCTCAGTGCCCCTTGTGGAAGGCTGGCAAGCGGCCTCAGAAAGCTGATCAGCTAGCTTTTGCCGGCGTTCGGTTATGGTGGTCTGCAAGGACATGATCATTTCAGGGGATAAGATTTTTTTCTCTTTTGCCTCAGCCACGACTCGTTCTCCTTCATCGAGACTCGCCAAAGCCTCATCTATTCTCCTTTCGGCAAGCAATACATCGAGGTAGTCGGGGAATTCAGTTGACCATTTCTCCACATCAGAAGGTTCTCTAATTTCGTGGTTGTGAAGACATGTTGTGGGAGAACCATCAGGAAGGGTGTCGGATAAAGACTCAATATGGACTCCCTCAGCTAAGTTGTGAACTAGGGTCGCCTGTGTGGATAGCAGATTTCTCATCGATGAGAGTTCACCCTCTAAATCTGATATCTCTTTGGATGTCCTGCATATTTCGTTGAAAAATGAGTAACCTTTTAATATGGAATTACAGATATGTTTAATATGCACATAATGAAATAACTTAATCTGTGTGGCTGTTAGACATGTTGAATATGCTAGAACTATGTACAGCAACGATATCTGTGAGTGAAGGATATTAGTGACTTTTGTTTTTATTTCCAGATACTGGAAGTAAGGGCCGCTACTGGATCTGAATAAGCTTATGTTACCAGTGTCTTAAGTTTCTTTTAGTAAAATGAAGTTAGTATTCAAAGTCGGGATTTTATAAAGTTTTCTTTCAGTAATTAATAATTAAACGCGTAAAGGAAGTTACTTGATAGCATGTCTTCAACTAAATTCGATATTGCCTTCAATTTACGGCTATTAAATATCAAGTTCATAAAAAAGTAATAGAAAAAAGAGGGGTTGTTATCTTGACCGGACATAACAATAATGACTCACCGTATAAATGCTGTATAATTAGCATATACACTTCTGCGCATTTCTTCAGCCGAAGCCCTCTTCAACTCCACAAGATACGAGCATAACTGTCTAATTTCCTGCAAAACATGTTCAAATGCAACGTGTTGCATAACCATTCTCCTTTTAATGGGGTCCAAGAGAATCCACATCGAGATGAAGAAGTTTTAACATAAGCAATTGTAAAGTTTAAGCCAGAGGCTCAGATCAGAACTCATCATTGTTTTTCCCTGCCTCTATCCCCAACTCTTACTACAACACTGACCCAAAGATAGATTAACAGTGCTTGAGCCAATTGCTTGTGAGGCAACCTAATAGCTGTAGAATTACATAATCTCATAAATTACGTGGATATATGGAATTGTAAAGTTTAAGCCAAAGGCTCAGATCAGAACTCATCATTGTTTTTCCCTGCCTCTATCCCCAACTCTCACTACAGTCAGATACTGACCCAAAGATAGATTAAGAGTGCTTGAGCCAATTGCTTGTGAGGAAACCTAATAGCTGTAGAATTACATAATCTCATAAATTACATGGATATATGGATACTGTGGTGCATTGGAAATCAGGACCTCTTATTTCTAACAGGTCATTGACCTCCAAAATAGTTTATTTTATTACTTTATCCTATATAACAAATTAATTTGAAATTTTTTATTACATTACCCTATGCAACGAAATTCATTTGAAATCAGCTAACCGCGGAACACTTGGAACTTTGGAAGTCATTCATCCCCTAATTGAAAAAATATGTGCATTTCTAATCCTCTAGTCAATATTCCTTTCATAAAAACAAAACTTAATGAATTGAATCTCTGTATAGTGTTAATCCAACTTCGGCCAAACTGTGGGATTAATCTAAAAGACTAACTTTGAAGATTTTCTCCCTAATTATTAGGCTGAAAATTAAAACATGATACCATCTGGAATTGAATCACAATTAATCATAAGGAATCTTACACATTTGTTATTATCAAGAAGTATAATGCAAGTCATATCCCTGTAATTGCATTTCTACTACAAGAAACCAAAATTCACAACCAATTTAATCCGGAAGGACAAAATTGCAAACGCGAGAACTTGGATTTCAATACAAGTTATTATCCCATGATACATTTATGCTTAAGCAAGCTACAAGAATACCCAACTAATTGAAACCCCACAGCAATTTTTACTACGTTTTTTATTTCGTCTTTCTGCCCCATCTCCAATTAATATGTGAACGATCAAGTAGTTGTAACCGAGTTAAAACAATTAAAAAACTTTGATTTTGAACCTTTTCGTTAAGCGAGTGACACTTGGTCTGCACAAAAGCATCAGCATCGTAGTTATCGGACTTGAAAACGTTGAGATTTTCCTCGAATTTCGCTCCTCCATCTTTAGCATTCCCCTTCGCTGAAGCTCCGGACAGTGCAGCTCTTGACCGAGAGGATTTTGCCGACGCCATAGCCAAAGATAGGTTTATCTTTCAATAGAATATCAACTCAAACCAAGCAAACAAACAACAAACGAAATCCAATCGATTGACTAAATTAAGCAAAAAAACGGATAAGCTGTGACTCGACGAGCCAGATCCGGAACCGCGTGAGCTGGCAACTAACTCCGACCAAATACGATGGATGAAGAGGGGATCATAGGATTTGAGGGCTTATGGTTTGAACGACGAGGATTGAATTCGCCATTGAATGGCAGAAAATAGACAAATTGGGAATTATAATTTTCTTGTATTGGTTTTTTGGTTGGCGGAATGTTTGGGTGAGCAAACTTAAAAATGGAGTTTGCTGTTGGTTGAGCTTTCTAAAAGGGTTCAATTGCTGAAAACTTCCAAATTTCACTTTCTTTATATGCATTTTACATTTACCAGCTTCCTTTCAAATTAAAACTCGGTTATTGCAAAACTCCTCTTTCATGTGAACTAATAAATATCATTGTTACTTGCTGGTATGTATAAATGTCACAAAACATCTAGTTTTTGTTATATTTATAATACACGAGACATTAGTGATTTAATATTCTAGTAATCCTTAGTTTAACCTTTAAGGTCCATTATTTAGGTCATATCTGGTCTTTTAAACTCGAAACAACGATCAAAGACTCGTTATATTGGAGTTCAATTAGTTTGATGGAAATAGTTTGAGTGGTATCGTCTCATAGAACGTATTTCTAATATAGTAAGGTCAAGGTGTCCAACCTAGAAGATTGAATTAGTCAATTAGGTACGCACTGCTTATATTGTCATTAATAAGATTAAGGAGATAACTTTAATAACAGATATATAATAACATGATTAACTTTCACTAAGCTCAAAATTGCATGTATTGAAATTTGAATTATATCAAGAGATACTTGCAATGTTCACTTTTAAAGTTTAATATAGCTCTATAAAAGAAACAAAGATTAAACCTGCAAATGTTCTAAATTTGATAATTTGATAAAAGAAAACATAAGAGACTATATTTTAGATAGGCAATTGTCCCCCGAACCTTGAATTTTTCAACTAGTGAAACAGATTAAATGTGTCACCACATGTTATCTTACTATCTGTCTAAAGAAGCAAAACAAAATGAAATAGTAGATACAATGGCAATGCTCGAGTATTGAGAATATTGTCCACATGAATCATTATGCAGCACAAATGATGCTACTAGAATAATCTAACTGATTAGCGTCCCCATGTTCTCTTATAGCAAACTTCATGGGAAGTCAAATATGTCCAAAAAAGTATACCAAGAAAGTAGAACAATTAAATGGAATAAGTAGTGATATAGAAGCCAACCACTTGTCCAATAATTGTCTAGTAATCGAACGCTCAGTAAATTCCACCCTAATGGTTCCGAGCCGTCTGATCAACACACACCCACACAACTGTGTGTGTAATTTGATGGCTTGGAAAGTGTAGGCTAGGGTCAAATTAGGCCAAAAGCTCTTTAGAACAAAACCCAGCAGCTAAAATTAACTAAAGTAAACATTTATGTTGCTCTGTCCAAATAAAATACCATTACCAGATAGAATGGCAATAGCATAGAGTAAAATTAAGTCAAAGCATTCCAATTATTATAACATAACAAGCATAGTTGAATTCTCCAGGGAATTACAAACCCACAACAGTTTGAAAGGAAGGAAAAAGACAAAGGATAACAATGTCTGGCAAGCATTTGCTGTCAGCCAATATCTAGGCTTTTTCAGGAGTGTCCGAGCGGATGGCTGAAAAAAGAAAACGAAGCAAAAGAACTCAAATCAGGAGTATAAAAAAACAAAGACATCTACTTTCTAAAGCAAGCACTATAATGATGATCTTCCGACAGTAAATTTTACCGTGACACAATCAAAAACAAAATTGATACATGGGAAAGGTAAACAAGTCTTGAAATGCATCAGATTAGCGAAAAATATTAACCACGTAGATGATTCTCTTCAAAATTCTCAACATCCAGATATAACCTACAGTAGACCCGAAAAACAAAAATAAATTGCATTATTTCAGTATTCTCAGAAACTACACACCAAACACCCTTTCCACAGGACATAAAGCGTAGAGCATGCTCCTAATAGAGATGTCTAGATAGGCTAACATTAAAAGATTTGTCCCATGGAACACTCCAGATTTTGGCAAATCAAGGAGCTAGCAAAAATAACTTATTCTTAAGTCTCAATTTTTATTTTTTATTATTAACAAAACCTGATTACAAATTTCCACAGTACACTCAAAGTGTACGATTACGTCATTAAATTTTCAAAGTACACTGTCTCAAAGCTCAAGCTCAATTCCTGTCTACAACGTATAGAGCCAGAAAAACTCGATATAACGCCCTCAATGGTTTTTTACCATTGGATCAACACACACCCATGTAGGTGTGTATTTGAGTGTGTGATCCAACAGTTAAAAACCTCGATGAGGGCATTACGCTTACCCATAGGATCGAATTTGCCGTATGGATCCACTCGAATGACACAACATTAAATCAAATTTACAAAGGAACCACACCTTGTCAAAGTCCAAGCTCAACTGTAGGGTACAATGTTCAGTTCCTAATCCATAATTCTCCTTGAAAAAATTCAATAACAGAATATCGTGTACATCAAATTCTTTTCAGACCAATCAAACGTCTTCATTTGTCATACACAGCAAAGATACCCTCATAATTTCAACAAGTAACAACACTTTTCTGGACAAAAACTTAACCAAACAAATATATCCCAGATGAAATGAGGCTTTAGGTCAAAAAATAAATAAAAAAATACAAATTGAGCATAAACTTTCCAAATTTGAATCCCAATTGCAAAAACCATTAAGCACTTCTCAATCAACCACAATAAGCATATATCGTTTTCCAACAAAAATCAATCTCGAAACCCCCAAACAAAAATAACTACTCAGGAAATAAAAAATCGGACATAGAGATCTCAATAATTTCAAAATCAGAGAGAGAGAAAGAGAGATCAGCGGAATTTACTTGACTTTAACGGTCGGCCGTCGGTCCACTCAGAGATGGCGTAATGGACCTTCTCACGGGCCTGGGCTTCGGATCTGTATGGCTCCTTCAAACACTGCCTCACCAAACTTGCGCATAGGTTGGAGTAGGTTATGTAGGTCATCCCGGCAGCTCTCCAGAAGGGCACCGCAGCATTAGACGCCATTTTTGCTTCTGAGCTTTTTACTTTCTCTCACTAGCTTTCTTCGTGTGCGTTATTGTGGAAATGGTCAGGCTTTTATTTCCAATGGGCCGCATACTGACCTACCAATCTACCATCATCTTTGGGCTGTTGTTAGAGGGACTAAGACAACTGGGCCGAATATTTGGGCTGTTGTTAGAGGGACTAAGTTAACTGGGCTGAATATTTGGGCTGTTGTTACAGAGATAGCTTTGTCGGCACTTTTTTCTTTTGGGAAATTTTCACGCTTCCTATAAGAATTACAAAATATTACATTTTTACACGTGGAACAATTTTAATTGTATCTATACCTAATATTTAGGATTTTAATAGAGATATACCTCAAAAAAATCCTCCGCCCTTAATTGCCGTAC